CCACAGATGCTGCCAGACCTGCTGAGCTTTTCCAGCAACGGGTTGTCTTGTTCCCATAAACTAGTACCTACAGTTAGTGCTACTTTTCAAACACAAGAGCTAAGACAATTTAGATGGAAACAATTATACATGGATTATTTTCTTAACTATAACCTGTAGAAAAGACAAATAAATAACAATTCATTTTGAAAGCAAATTTTCTTTTACTGCTTTATTAGCTTTGGCACATAACATGGGAAATATACCATTTGTCTTCTCTTTCAGTTCAATAAACGCAAGCATAGAAAGTGACAAAACGTAATATGGAAAACCAAGTCACTAACCAAGATTTAAATTTCAAAATCAGAAATAACTGACTCTGTTCTGGAACTGTAAATGTACAAGTTGCACATTTATTGAATTAAAGCCCAACTGAATCATCTGGCCAAATTTTACCCATATGGCAGAGGATGTAAGTATACAAAGGATAAGAATATTAACAATCACTATGAGGTTAGAGCTTCATACAGCGCAAATAAAAATTAATAATGAATATTATTCTTTCAAAGTCTACAAACATGGCATTTGTCAAACCTGGCAAGGAGTTATTAAAACAAACAGTTGGAATGTACACACACTCTGGTAGAATAACTAACTTCAGAAAATTGTTGTTTTATTTTTCAGCAAAACTGACATTAAAATGTCCATGACACAATTTACAGATATAGATAGCAACACTTTCCAATATTACCTTTGGCAATTTCTTTAGTTTTTACTTTAAGTGGCTGGAGTACTCCTCCACTGGAAACCTCAAAAGTGGTACCATACTGCTGTCCAATTGCATTGTCCAAGTAAAACCACTGTTTCTCAAAGGTGATTTTTCTGGAAAGCAAATTTTGAGATCCATCAAGTTCTAAACGGAATATTAAATTCATCCATCGTCATAGCAAAAATCAGTGACATACGTTCAAAGTATTCTTAGAAAATTCCAGATATATTTTAACAGATGTCATGTGAATGGCTGTGGTCCAGACTTATTTCAATCACTCAGAATTAATTATACTCTAGATACCAAAGAAAAGTGTTTGCTTCACCAGGTTAAATAAAATGACAGTTTTAAGGCAGTGGAAATCAAACATTTTCAACTAATTTTGAAGATGTAAATAAAAGATGCTTTTGGGTTAGCACAGCTTAATGGCAGCAAACTGACGCACAATGAAGCACCCTGAAATGTAATATTTTTTCTCCTACTCCAAGTTCCCAGTTTTAGCCACACTGCTGTGGGGAAGCAATGAGCATCTTTCATATCTCTGGATGAAAGCTAGGGTTAAAGGATAGAAGTAAAGCGGTGGTGGGGGGGTGGGGGAGAGAAAACGCGAGAATGGAGCAATAATTGGACTGCTTCAATATCAATTCGTGGCTGTAGGAAGCACAAATTCTCAGATGAGGAGAAAGCTTTTTACACATGTACAAAACGAAAAAGTCTTGTAACTATACTCAGATTTGAATTGGTGTTGTTTTAAACAAAATTTCAAGTTATATCATGCAAGTAAGCAGTTTTTTTTGACAATCAAGCTGTACTGATATTTACAGGGATATACAGAAACAAAAAAAAAACAAGGAGTATGCTATTCTGCCCTTTGAACCTGCTCTGCCATTCAATATGATCATGGCTGATCATCTAACTCAGTATCCTGTTTCCCACCCCATATCCTTTTTGTCCCTTTAGTCCCAAGAACTATGTCTAACTTCTGGAATAAATCCAATATTCTGGCCTCATTGCTTTGTGGCAGAAAGTTCCACAGCATCACCACTTCCTGGGTGAAGACATTTCACCCATCTCAGTTCTAAATGGCTGAACCTGTATCCTTAAGATTGTGACTCCTGGTCCTGTACTCTCCAATCAATAGCAATATTTTTCCTGCATCCGGTCTAGTCCTGCTGGAATCTTATAGGTTTCTATGAGATACCCTCCATTTTAGTAAACTTCAGTAAATATAAACCTAACTGATCCAGCCTCCTTTCACAATGTCAGTGGTGGATAAGTTGTTGGAAGGGATTCTTAGGGACAGGATTTACATGCATTTGGAAAGGCAAAGAATGATTAGGGATAATCAACATGGCTTTGAGCATGGAGAATCTTATCTCACTAACTTGAATGAGTTTTTTTTTGAACAGGTGACAAAGAAGATTGATGAAGGTAGAGTATTAGACATTGTCCCTATGGATTTCAGCAAAGTGTTGGGCAAGGTTCTGCACGGTAGTTTGGTTAGCAAGGTTGATCACATGGAATCCGGGGGAGCTAGCCAATTCGATACAAAATTGCCTTGAAGATAGGAGACAGAGGAAGGTGGTAGTGGGTTGCTTTTCCAGACCGGAGGTCTGTGACCAGTAGTATGCTGCAAGGATCAGTGCTGCATCCACTGCTTTTTGTCATTTATATAAATGATCTGGATAGGAATATCAGAGGTATCACTGGTGGTATAGTGGACAGTGAAGAAGGTTATCAAAGTACAACGAGATCATAATCAGATGGATCATTGGGCTAAGTCATAGAATCCCTACAGTGCGGAAACAGGCCCTTCGGCCCAACAAGTCCACACCGACCCTCAAAGCATCCCATCCAGACCCATTCCCCTATAAACGATCTACTTGACACATCCCTGAACACAATGGGCAATTTAGCACGACCAATCCACCTAATATGCACATCTTTGCGCTGTGGGAGGAAACTGGAGCACCCGGAGGAAACCCAAGCCCGGCAGTGGAATCGAACCTAGGTCCCTGGTGCTGACCCACCGTGCCGCCCCTACTGGCAGATGGTGTTTAATTTACATAAACGTGAGGTGTGGCATTTTGGTCAGGCTAACCAGGGCAGGACTTAGAGGTAATGGTAGGGCCCTGGAGAGTGTTGCCAAACAAAGAGACCTAGGGGTGCAGGTGCATAGTTCCTTGAAAATGGAGTCACAAGCATGGTGAATGCAGCGTTTGGCACGCTTGTTCTCATTGGTTAGTGCATTGAGTATAGGAGTTGGGACGTCATGTTGTGGCTGTACAGGACATTGGTTAGGTCACTTTTAGAATACGGTGTACAATTCTGGTCTCACTGCTAAGAAAGACTTTGTTAAGCTTGAACGGGTGCACAAAAGATTTGAGGATGCTGCCAGGATTGGAAGGTATGAGCTATAGCGACAGGCTGAAAAGGCTGCGGCTATTTTCCCTGGATCATCAGATGCTGAGGTGTCACCCTTAGGTTTATATAATCATGAGGGGCATGGATAGGGTGAATAGCTAAGGTCTTTATCCCGAGGGTTGAGAAGGCCAAAACTAGAGGGCTTAGGTTTAAGGTGAGAGGGGAAGACATAAGAGGGACCCGAGGGACAGAGTTTTTTTTTTTTTTTTTAAAAATGCAGAGGGTGGTGCATGCATGGACAATGGTGCCAGAGAGGTGGAGGAAGCAGGTACAATTACATTTAAAAGGGATCTGGATGGATACATGAATAGCAAGGGTTGAGACGGATATTGGCCAAATTCTAGCAAATGGGACTGGACCAGTTTAGGATACTTGGTTGGCATGGACGAGTTGGCCCGAAGGGTCTCTTTTCATGCTGTATCACTATGATTGATTCTTAGGATGGATCAGTTTTGTAGACCTTCACTATATTCCCTCTATAGCCATACCATTTTGCCCTCAGATAAGGAGATCAAAGCTGCACACAAAACTCTAGAATAGGCTCATCAATGCCCTATACAATTGCACCAAGACATCCCTGCTCCTATATTCAAATCTGCTCATTATGAAGGCCAACATAGCACTTGCCTTCCTGCTGCATCTGCCTACTTACTTTTAGTGACTGGTGTACAAGACACTCAGATCTCATTCCACTACCTGCTCTCCCAATACATTGCCATTACAATAACAATCCGTCTTCTTGCTTTTGCTACTAAAAAGTGGATAAGCTTATGTTTATCCATTTTCTATTTCATCTGCCATGCATTTGCCCACAACTCAGATCAAATCACACTGAAGTATCTCTGCAATCTCAATTCAACTTCCCATCCAGCCTGTTGTTGTTTGTAAACTTGGGAAATGTTACATTTAGTTCCCTCACCTAAATCATTTAATGTTGTGAATAGCCATGGTCCAAGCACTGATCCCTGTGGTACCCCAGTAGTCACTGGCTGCCACTTGAAAAATGAGCAGTTTATTCCTACTGTTTCCTGTCTGCCAAATAGATTTCTGCCCATGTCAGCACATTACCTAAATTCCATTCACTTTAATTCTCCATGCTAATCTCTCAATTTGGAGCTTATTGAAATATATATTCATTTGCCTTACATTTTCTCATTGTGATTTAAGACATTACTTCCATAAATCTACATGAAACTATTTACATCAAAATTTGACAATTTTACTTCGCAAAAGTGGAGTTATAATGTGGCACTGTTATGATTATCAGTCAAATAACTGGAGTGAATAACAAACTTGGTTGCAGGTAGGTATATTAGTTGAACATTTCTTCAGTTTCTGATTTGAGACCTTTTTCTTATAATGATTGTAGCTAATGAAAGCTAATGACTGTACATAAATGTTATCTGAAAAATTCTTGAATGAGAACTGTAAGCTCCCACTTAATTTTCAAATACAAACCCTAAGAAATGGTATAAAAATAATTCAATGGCACATTAGTTTAGCAGCAGTTGAGGTCATGTTTTAACAAACCATCCAATTTCTTCGCTCATCCCTGCCTGGTACAAAGTTACTTGTCACTTAACCCAATCTTCTGCCACACGCATACCACTTGCATCAAGGATGGACTGTGAATTCCACTACATTTCTCCAACAATATTCAGAAGCTGTGCAGATGCACAAATAGTATCCAATCACAATACGCTCCCTCAAAAATAAAGTTTAGTTTATTACAATAACCTCATAAGTGCTGTTTTGTGTCCAAATGCTGTGCGTAATACTTTCCATAGATCATGGTATGACTTGCATTCAGTTATTTACATTCCTGATAAAATTAAATAGCCTAAGCTAAAACACAATGAAATGTCCTTATTTTGTTCAGTCTTATAGCATTCTGGAACCTTAGTCCAATATTAACTATTCAATCTACAACCTACAATGGCTGCACTCCACAGACAATTTCAGCATGCTCCAGATATTGTTATGATTTGGACCAGGATGCCAAATTTCTGTTTCACGTTAGGGATCAGCAGCCTTCTTTTTAAGAAATGTAGACAGAAATCCAGGGGTTATACTAATCGAATAAAGCCTTGCGATTACATGGTTTTGAACAAATAACGATAAAAACTTTGCCATACAATTTCTTCATGTATTGTACATTGTATTCGAGCACTCGGAATTAACGTATGGTCAATGTTGGCAGTTGACTGACCAAACATCCAATAGTACACATCAAATTGCAAAGTCAAACAGAGATCCTGTGAATAAATGCTAACTTATTTTATGTGAATAAATGTTAAATGTGAATAATACTATAAATGCTAAAACATTCCGCTTGCCTTCCCAAATCCCTAGCTGTATTTGTTTAATACAGTCAAGGTGCCATAGCCTTACCAGACCATAGCGCTGCTCTCTCATTAGACAGACAACACTGTTGGTGATTTAACCTGACAGCCAGCATACCTCAAGCAAGGGGTAGAGTTTGAGAAGAGAATCCTTCATGGTAACCTCGGACAGTGTGGGGATTGAGCCTGGGGATCACACTGCTTTGCAATCCAACAGTCCAGCCAATAACGCTCTTCGATTAACATACAAAGACATCAGATCCTTCTGCAACCTCTCCTTATTTCTGTGAATGTTGAAAGTGGTGGATGGAGTATCAAACAGGCTGTTTTGTTCTGGATAGTGTCAGGCTTCCTAAACATTGTTAGAGCTGCACCCATCCAGGTAAATCAAAAGTATTCCATCACCCTCCTGATTTGTACTTTGTACATGGTGGACAAGCATCGGGAGACTGGAAGTGATTTACATGTTGCAGATATACTAGCCTTTGATCGGCTCTTGTAGCCACAGTATATGTGGGGTTGGTCCGTTTCAATCTCTGGAAAGTGATGTTAGCTTGTATGTTGACAGTTGGAGATTTAGCAATGGTAACGCCATTGACATCCAGGGCAACAGTTTAATTCTTGATTACTGGAGGCATTGCCCAGCAATTGTCTGGTGCAACTTATTAGCCCTAACCTGGATGATGTCCAGGTCTTTCTGCATATTGGCAGACTGCTTCAGTTCAGAGGAGTAGTGAATGCACAATGCTCAGAACCAATCAGCGAACATTCCCATTTCCAGCCTTATAATGAAGTCCATTAATGAAGCAGCTGAAGATGATTGGGCGAAAGGCACAACCATTAGGGACTTTTGCAACGATGTCCTTGGACTGAGATGACTGACCTATGTCTTCCTTTGTGCTAGCTATAACTTTAACTAGTGAAGAGAGTTTTCCCCGATAACCATTGACCTTAGTTTTGTTAGGGTTCCTTGATGCCATATTCAGTCAAACGATGCTTTGATGTCAAGGGCTGTCACTTGCACCTCCCCTCGAGTTCAGCTGTTTAGCCTAGGTTTAAACAAAGGCTGTAATGAAGTCAGGAACCAAGTGGCCCTGCTAGAACCCAAACCAAAGTGTTAGTACGCAAATTATTGGTGAGTAAGTGCCACTTGATAGCATTGTTGATGTCCTCTTCCATTGCACTGCAAAAGATTGAGAATAGACTAATAGGGCAGTAATTAGCCAGCTTGAATTAATTTCGCTTTTTGTGGAAAGGACATCCCAAGCAAATTTCCACATTTCTGGGTAGATGAAAACGTGGAAATTGTACCAGTACAGCTTGGCTTAAGCCAATTTGTTTAATTATCCACTACCATTCACAACTAGATGTGGCAGGATTGTAAAGCTTACATCTCTGCTTCTTGCAGTAAATTTTGATGTGGCACATTGTCAAACAACTTCTGGATAGCCAAGTACTGTACAACTACCAGCTTGAGGTGGGTTGGCTCGCCGAGCTGGTTTCTTGTTTTGCAGACGTTTCGTTACCATGCTTGGTAACATCCTCAGTGCAGCCTCCAATGAAGCGTTGGTGTGTTTTCCTGCCTGGTTTTTAAACTCTGGGGTCCATTGAGATGGATTGCCTCACTTCCGGTTTTCCTTCGTAGTGGAACGTATATGGGGTCGAGTTCAATGTGTTTATTAATAGCTGCTTCATGGAGTGCCGCTCCTAGGAATTCTTGTGCCTGTCTCTGCCTAGTCTGTCCCAGGATCTTGCTGTTGTCCCAGTTGAAGTGGTGGTTCTCCTTGTCCATGTGGATTGAGATGATTGAGTATTGGTTGTCTTTCTGTAGCCAGTTGGTGTTCATGTACTCTCGTTGATAGTTTCCTTCCTGTTTGTCCGATGTAGTGTTTCTCGCAATCTCTGCAGGGAATCTTGCAGACGACGTTGGTCCTGTCCATGGTGGGGAGTGGGTCCTTAGCTTTATTTTATCTACGTGACTTGCTACTCTTTTTAAAATGAATTAGTCAAACATGATTTCTCTTCCACAAAAACCAACTCAATTGCCTAAGTGCATCAAGATGTTTGAGTCCCCTGTTTTATCTCCTTATGAACGGATTCCATTATTTTCCCTACAACCCATGTTAGGCTAACTGGCTGGTAGCTGCCAGCTTTCTGCGCATCTCCCTTCTTTCTTGGACATTTATTAAAAATAAACTTGCATTTATACAGAGATAACAAGGTGTAGAGATGGATGAACACAGCAGGCCAAGCAGCAGCAGAGGAGGAGGAAGGCTGATGTTTCAGGCCTAGATAGGCTTGGCCTGTGTTCATCCAGCTCTACACCTTGTTATCTCAGATTCTCCAGCATCTGCAGTTCCTACTATCTCTTGCATTTATACAGTGCCTTCTACAACATTAGGACATCCTGTTAACTATTTTTCATGTGCGGTAATGTCTGGAATGCTTACAGCCAATTTGTGGAGAGAAACCCCATAGGTAACAAATAAAATAACTAAATAGTTTTTTTTTGGTGATGGTGATCACCAACAAACATAGACCAGAACACATTTCTCTGAATTGAACCTTGTGATCTTTAATACCCATCATTCTTACAAGTACAATAACAGCTACTGGACAAATTAAACATCAATAGCACAGGTACAAACAACCACTGGGCATTTCAAACAAACCACATGTTAAATGCAAAACTAACTTTTCTTTTACGTTAATGCAAAAACTGCAGCGATGGTAGCAGAGAAGCAAATTTAGCACAAACGTGATCTAATGGACAATAAAAGATGCATATTGCATAGTATCAACAATATTAGTTTTCCTGGCGTCAGCTCAGTATAACCAAGCCAGAAATTCTTCAGGCATATTACATCCGTGAACCTTTGACGGCACTACATTGTTACAAGACTTCAAGGATGTGAAAGCATTGTAGAGACTGCACAGGGATTAATAACTTCAGTGACGAAGATACATTGGAGAAATTGGGGTTATTTTCCTTGGATAATTAGAAGGTGGACGGGAAATCTGATACTAATGATTAAACGCTTATGTTACTTCTGTTACTACACTTTGTGCGCTTGCATGGCTTTAGAAATCTCCACGCTCCAAGATTTAATGTATCTCGAGCTAAAAACTTTGGCTAAAAGCGTAGGCAACGTGCAGCTCTCTAAACAGGAGGGGGAGCGCTCCTCTGCCCTCACCCCGGGATCAATATTGCGGTGACCTTACCTTCCTCTGTGCACTTGCACGGCTTTAAACACCTCTTCTCTTTTCAGCACCACATGGTCCCCCTCGCTGACAGGCTGGGCCTGGCCGCCGCCGGGAGCCGGCACTTCCACGGGCCCGGACATTAACACGACCACGGCCGCCGCCGCCTCCACACTTTCCTTATCTCCCCTACACCTAGGACAGGCGTCCTTCAATCCATTTCCCCTACCCCTCCGCAGACCGAAAGAAACACAGCCGGGCGGCTGGTGTTGAAGCGACAGCAACAACCACAAGCTGTCGCTGCCGCCACCCGAACGTTAACGGCGCTCGGGCTGACTGTTGAAAGCGTGTGCACGAGGCACCGGAAATGAGGATGGGGGGGGGGAAAGGTAACATGCGCACCACTGCAAACCCTGCCCTCCGCCGTCACCTGAACACACGCATGCGCCTCTGCATTCTGCGCGCTCGCGCTTAACCCAGTTCTCCCCGGAGGACGCAAATGCGTCGCCTCGTGCCCGCTCAACTCCAACGCGCACACGTGCGCGTCACGGAACACGTCCAAATAGCCGCATGCGCATGCGCGTCACTGTTGGTTCCGTCGCTCTACCCATTCATTGCAATCATCGCCCACTTTCCAGCGCCAGCCAATGCGTGCCTCTTTACGTGACACGCCCCTAGGACCACCCCCGCCTTACGACATTACGCCAACATCCCTGCTGGCAACGTTAACGCATTTTAGGCCCCGCTCCGTACGCGTTTGCGTCACACGACGCACGCACGACTTTCTCCCCGCCCCCTTTCCCAGTGCGCACGCGCATTATTGTTCGACCCCCTCCGGAACGCGGGAGTCGGGAACTGTTTGGTGAACGTTTGAACTGATTTGGTGGTTCTGTCCTGTCCGCCTGGTTACTGCATGAAAGACAGCGTCTGTGAATAGGCGGGAGGAGTGGGGAGGGAGATTATCAGAGAGAAGACAGGCCGCTTGTAGCGAAATTTGGAGAGCCGTAACCGTGAGGGTAGTACCTGTGTGAGTAGGGCTAGCCTTTCATCGCCTCCCCCTCCCCCTGCTGTAGGGCCATCATCCACAATGTGCTCCGACTGGAGAGGAGGCAGGAGCTGGAGAGGTGCCAGAGGGGGTCCGGCAGGCGGATGGAGGGGCAGACCCTGGAGAGGGAGAGGAAACTGGGACAAGTCCGGAAGAGGCCGAGGAAGTAAGTCCAGTGAATTGGTTTAGAGCTGGATGAACACTGCAGGCCAAGCAGCATCAGGGAATCAGGAAGGCTGACGTTTCGGGCCTAGACCCTTCTTCAGAAATGGGGGAGGGGAAGGAGGTTCTGAAATAAATAGGGAGAGAGGGGGAGGCGGATAGAAGATGGATAAAGGAGAAGATAGGTGGAGAGGAGACAGACAGGTCAAAGAGGTGGGGATGGAGCCAGTAAAGGTGAGTGTA